AAAATTGAGACCTTTGTTTGGTACTGTTTCCTCAGAGGTACTTTACTGATATTTTGTTGATGTTAACTTTTTTCATAGGTTGATGACTTTATCACATACTATGATCTTTCAATCACTTTTGCTTTTGTATTTGGTGTGCTTTGACTCTATAGAATTATTGATCATAAAATGTGTCCAGATCTTGTAGGATTGTTTCTTTAAAATCCCAAGTTATTTGGTTTAGGAATGATTTTATCTTATTGAAGAATTTACTTTGTAAATAATGTTTCATCCAGCAATTATCTTCCTCATCTATGTATCCCACTCCTTCCACAACCATTTATACACTTCCAGAATTCATTGATGTTTTGACATTTAAGCCAGTTGGCATTAGCTTGATAATTCTACATCTGGAGAGGAATGTTAGATGGTTCCTTCTGGACAATAAAATGGAAGCCTTTAATTAAGAAAGAAACTTTAGGCCCAAAACTAAAAATATTCCACTACCTAATTAAAATACAAGTCGTGTAAAAGTAATATACTTTAATGCAAAGATGAAGACAAGATATTAGGTTTCCACCACTCAATTCTCCTATGGGACACATAGCCTAGTGGACAAAAGTATTGGTTAAGGGATTCAAGTTACCTGGTAGCCATGAGTACACTCCCTTGGTCAGGTAAAGCAAAAAGTCATATACTGATTCAGTGGAAAGGACAAGCAACATCACAAGAATGAATTAACTGATATGTGATATCCTCTAGAATGAACAGTGAAATGAGAACAATCTACTACTGTAGGTCAAATAGAGTTGGTTCAAAGAGCTTGGTTCAAAATTCCCATATCAACTATGATAAACGCTAAACAGTACAATGGCTGAAACATTGTGATAATAACAATCAAGATTAAGACATTAGTATGAGAAAACCAATGTATAAAAATGATAATAACTCATCTAAAAAAATTAAGACAAAAATAAATTTGTATCAGATTTCTAGAAAGGTTCAGCTGTACAAGTCAAATGATGCAGTTCCAAAGGCAATTTTCTTGAGCTGCCTAAATTTCTTCCCCTTATAGGTGGAACACTTATGCGTCTCAAAAATCTTATCCCTCCAAAGTCATGCAATAGAACAATAGTTGTCAAGCAGCTTCTCCCACAAGTTGGAGTAACTTTAACTAAGGTCAACAAAAAGGAAGATGAGTTAAATCCTAGAATCCTTTGACTTGAATTCCCTTAAGTCTCAGCTTTGCTATAACCATCAACAAGGTACAAAGACAATTTCTCAAAATTGCTAGCCTCAACTTGACTTCTCCATGTTTTTCCTATGACCATTTCTGTATTGGTTGTTCTAGGATTGAATCTCAAGATAACTTTTTCAGATTGGCAGTGGGAGAAGCTCTAATGTTGTGTACCTAAAAAAATTTCTTTTGTGCATCAAAATATTTTTAGTATCAGCTACTTTTTCATATGTAAATAATCTTTTTTGTTTTATATTTGAAGTAATGACAGGTATCACTGTTAGTTTTAGTTATTAATAAACTACTGAAATATTTCAAACTTCTTTCCACATTGGATGTTTGTAATGAGACATATATAAGTAAATTAAAAAAGAGAGAAAAAAAAGAGTACTGATGTCACCATAGGCACATCTGTGTCCCTTACAAGGTTGAATGACTGGTTCTTAAATGCTACCAAATCTATTTTGGCATAAAAAACAGAAGACAGTCTTTTGTTAAATGATTTTTTGATAACCTTACCATATATTTCCTGTTTCGTCAACAAAAAGTAAGCAGTGTCTGTACCATATGAAGTGGATGGCCATTTTAAAATACCAGAAATTGAAATTTTAAAATTTGGCAAATCTTAGGCTTCGTTAGATCTTGCTGAGAGATAAATGCATTTATTAAACTATAGTTGAAATATAAACTACAAAGCATATAGTTAACCAAAATTATAACTAAACTGGTACATTTATATTCATGTATACAGTACTAAAAATTACAAAGAATAGCAACAAATTGTTTCATAGAAGTTGAAATGTTTTAAGAATTTTTGAAGGATCTAATATATGGAGTAAATATGTGTAACTGCGCACACATATACATACAAAAAATTATTTTAGAAAACATTAATAAGAACAACAATTAAAACAATTAAATATTGCAATAAAATCAAAGATGAACATTATACACCATTTCTACCAAAGAGAAGTTTGTAATAAATATTAACATGAGAATTTCTGATATGACCTTGATTTATTTTATTGCTGTTGTTAAAAGGTTTAAAAAAAACACAAAAAAAAATTTAACAAATTTCCATTTAAGAATTTGATTAAAAGAAAATGCAAAAATGAACTTAAAAGATTAATAATACTTCCCTACCACAAACTTATTTTATATTACTTTATCTGCCATTAAAAATTAGTTTCAGTGTCATATTTTCAACAAATATATAAGAATTCTAGTGAAGAGATTATACTCCAGCAAAGTGAACTATTTTTTGTCTTGTTTTGGTATATTAAGGAGTTGTAATCCTTCTTTAGTTGCCATACTCAAGAGTTTGAAGTAAATGGAGAATGTAAAATTGATAAATCCTTTCTCCTCTTTATTCACTTTCATGAAATGTGTGCATGAAGAATTGTTGTCTTATCCTTGTTCCCTCAATTAATACCATAACCCTGATGCTACACCTTTCAATTTACTGATAGTTTGCAGTTCCAAATAACTAGTTAAAACATTGTAGAAAAAAATGACAATCCCACTATGTTAAGTTTAAAAACTTCATGAAAAATATCAGCTATAATTATCTGAATGCCTTCCAGACCCATTTGAAGATATCTCCTCCTTTGATTTCATAAATGAATAGATAAAAACAAAATACCTGTGTTATTAAACAAAACAAAGTAGCATTTCTCCTTATAATTGTTCAGCAATGATCAAATAAAAATAATACAGTTTCTGTTTATGAGTAAAAGTTTTTTTTACAAGACTACTTTTTGTTACTTTTGCAAAACATAGTGGTGAGTATTCCATCAAGTCTTACACATTCTTCACAGAATTGTAAGCTTCAAGAATCAAGATCAGTTATCTTACTTTTTTAACTTTAACATTTCTAAATTGCCAGTTCCATTTTAGTGATCAACTGTCTTAAATCTTCTAATGTATAGTGTCAAATATTTGGAAAAAAACCCAAAAAACAAATCTTATCATATACCTGTACTTGTTTATTTGGATAAACCTGGTCATGTTTCTAACCTTCACTCAAAAAACACTAAATATCTTTAACAATTAACATACTTACTCTACACTACGAATATTCTCATATAAAATAAGTGAAATACGCGGTAAATCAACTGAATTATTTTTCAGTTGATTACCACGCACATAATATTGCAAGTAATTGTAATTTTTCCGAGTATATAGGTACTAAAGCTCTACTCTACTTGATAGCACATTATATAAAAATGGGCCATAATCGAACAATTTCTTAACAGAAAAACATGTAATTAAAAAAAAAAGACTGAGCACTCCCTTAGTTTTGACTTTTGTTTGATTTACTAAAATAAAACCTAAATGAATTTTATTTGCTTTTATTAAATTTACAGTGGTCAATTTAATTTCAATATGATTAATAAAAAAGTAATTATCATTAGTGAGTTTTTAAAAAATAACCCAATCAATCTAACATGTTTCCTTCAGTTTTCACTTTCTCATCATAATTATCATTCATCGGAAAAAGAAAAAGTGAAGAATTTTTAAATGCACTTAAATACGAAGTGTAACAACCGATTTTTAGTTTTACTCTGTTTCTCAATTTTTAATTAATTTATTTTTAAATGTAGTTTCAACTTTTTACTCTTGTGTAAAAATTATAAAATATTCTAGTAACAGATTTAAATTAAATAGAAAAATAAATTAAAATTGGGAACGTAAAAAAGAAAAAAAACAGACAATACGGAGAAATTAAATTTTATCACAACGTGCTAAAAATCATAATCAGGTGTTAAAAAAATCCGGAGCAAGTATATAAAAAATATTTTATCCTATTCAAATTTTCAAATTGGAACTGGAATTCTTAGTGACCACTTTTTAGCGTTTACAAATTCATTGTTTGTAATTTTTGTAACTTTGTTTAATTATTTGTCAAATTGTCAATAGAGACAGGAGTGACAAATTTTGGTCTGCAGTTGATCCAAATACAATAAACGTCACACACACTATGTAAGGTAGGTGCAAGAAAGAAGTACCTGAAATGGAGAATATCTATTTTTTATGAGTCCGATATATCCTAAAAGGTAAAAGCTATTTGATGAAAAACATTATTGCGATAGTAACTGAAGAACAATAGCTTTATATTCAACTTTAAAAAGACTCGTCTGCTCGTAAAAAAACCGCACTAAATTGATCGGCCAAGAGTTAAGTGCAGTGGTAAAATATAAACAGAAATTAAAATGTTTGGTCATTAAATTATACGTAATTGATCACTGTTAAAAATAATAACATCTTTTCTAAACTTACGGAAATGGGGACTGTTCGGCGCGCGGTATGCATTATATTTTGCATCCAGTGCTAGAACTTGTTGCCAAACAGAAGCCATGATGCTTGTGGCCGCTTGCATCAACGATCCAATTACATCCGTTCGAATAAAGATAGTCGGAAAAATTGAATTCGAAAATAATTTTTGTCAGAAAATAAAATAAAATAAAATAAAACTTGATTTAACACTTTACAAATTTATAATATTAAGCAATTACATTTTCTTAATGGTTTCTTCAATGTAAAAATTGTGCGAAGCGGTCCCTCGAAAATGTTCATAGGTTTGTTTATCGGTGGACATGTCTAAAAATAGTAGTCTACTTCGTATATAAGCTGAGGGAAGGCAGCCATCTTCCATCCTATTGATAACTTAGAAAGTTAGTTTGTAAAGTAGTTTGTGTAGGTTAAAAACAACAAAAAAAAGACAAGTGTCAAACTTTACGAAATTGAGGTTTGTAAGTGAATTGTGCAACAGAATTAATCCAGAATGCAAGCGATCAAATGTGTGGTTGTCGGCGACGGGTAGGTAGCCAAAGCTCTTTTTTTCTATTAAACTACATTTTCTCTTCCTTTCCATACCAACCAAAAATTACACACGCACTTGTTTTTTTTTCTCTCTCTTTTCAAACACTTATCTGCATACAAACTTACTCGCATTTTGAACTTTACCATATATTATAGCTCTACTCCTCATTAACCAACAGCTTGAACGGCTTTTTCGGTATTAAAGAATGTTTCTCATTACTTTTTTTTTTTTTTTTTAAAACTAAAAAAAAAAACAAAAAACACCCAACTCTGCGCTTTAAACACACACACACACACACACTGATCACTTGTAACAATTGTTCATTTTAAATTTTTTTATTTAATATTAATTTGTTTCGATTATTTTATAATTTATCTTGGATTTTTTTTCTTTTTAACCAGAATTTACAATTTGTTAGCGGGGTTAATCATTTTTACTTACTATTTTTAAAATCCATCTCGAAAATTAATGGAATTATTAAATCAAACAGTTAGATTCTCACAAAAAAGCTGAATAAATAGAAACTCCCTATTTTTATTTTTTAACGAATTGTTTATTCAATCATCATCTTAAACACCAACAAAATACACTAAACTACAGTCTCTAGATTGACTAGTAGCTCCTGTTGGTCATTATTTCTCACTTCTTCGCTATCATTTCCATTGATTCATGCTTATTCACACTTGACAAAGTTGTACATTAATAATGGAAACTATATTTTTTTTCCTTACTTTTTAGTTTAAGTGAAAAATTTAGTTCTTATTTTTGATTCGGAGAATGCATTTTCTGTCTTTTAGACGCACTCTGAATAGTGTGAGACCAAATTGTAGATTTTTTTTTTTTTTTTTTTTTACTGATTATTCCCTTAAAGCTTTTCTGACAGATTTTATTGAAACTCCAATTTTTTAAAAAACTTTTAATGACTATATTAAACTAAAGAGAATTAGTATATTTTCTACAGGTTTTTAAATACCTTACTTTCGTAATAGAACAACGATGTATCGGTCGTCTGTAGCCGTGTGGAAGACTGATGTGCAACTCAATTTATATTTTATATTATAGTACCACTCCTTCTCCCCTCCCTGCCTTTGGCAATCTTATTGCTATAACATTCAAGATTTTCTATTTTTCTTTTGTCTGAATTTAAAGTCCCTCGACACTGGATTTCTTTGACCTGTATAGTTAATGACACTCGAAGCCATGTCAGTATGTGATAGGGTGTGTATCTTAGATTTTCGTTAAACACACGTACACTCACGTAATGCTGTGTAGAGTACACAACACTATGAGGATTAAGAAGTCAAGGGTAGGCAAGATCGCCTAAATTTGTTTCTTATGAACCTCAACGTTTTTTTTCTTCTTTCGACAAACCTCGTATTGTGCATTGCGTTTATTTCTATCTTGGGAAGTGGGTGTAGATATGTGCATGATGCATTATTTTTCTCTTATGCTGACTGGATTTCTAAAGTTTGGAGCACGCCTGCCACATACTGGTCTGTTTCCTGTTCAGAGAGCTCTTCCTGTGGAATGGCAACTATGCCACACACACACATTGCAGCTAGACCACTTACTCGCTTAGACTCTGAGATTTTATATATATATATATATATATATATTTTACACTACTAGGACACACAACTTCCGTTAGAGGATTGCGGCAAATAGACTGACTAGTAATTGAGAATGCCTGTTTTTAAATACATCCTCTTCTTACAGTTGTTTTTTTTTTTGTGTTTAGCACTAACAATCCCTATGTATGTTTGTACTTATATATATATATATATATATATATATATATAATATTGTGTGTGTATACTATAAACTGAATAAATTGCAATAATGCACAATAACACATCATAGGTGGTGCACACGCACATTAACTGAATAGTTTGTGAAAAACTTTAGAAAGAAAGACCCAGGACAGGTAGGAATTGTTGCAAAACGGCGTGTAGTGTGATATAGATAAAAAAAAAAAAAAGTAAAACCAGGTCCAGTCTATAAAAAAGAAAATATATGGCACTTAAAAATGGTAAGGGAGATTCAGATTGACTAAAAAAAAAAGGATTTCTTTAGAAAAGACTTTGTATTTTAAGTTTAAAAATATCTATTCAGCTGACAATGACGTTGTATTGTGCTATTCCTTAGTTATGAAATGAGACGTACAACTAGATGTTTTCTTATATACCGGATCACGGGAACTGCCTTCTTTTCATAATTTTCCCTAGTAGTAGTCGTAGTAGTAGTATTAGGCACTCCTTAATAACTGGAGTACAAATTCAGAAAAGACCTGACTGACCCATTTGTCGTGCTACGGATGGCCAGTAACGCGATAATATCTGGTTTTACAAAGAGAGACGATATTGTCACCTATCTACTTTTAATCGCCTCCGATTTTACTTATTCGTTATTTTTCTTTCATTAACCATTACCGACTTAGTTTCTAAAAATTATACTAATCAGTCCATACAATTGTTACAAGTACTGTCTTATTGGTCATCCATAGTTTTAAACTGCTGGGATTGGAGTGAGAACAAACACAGGATAGTATTTAATTTCTCTAATACTCTATCTCTCAATAGTTGGGATTATTAGTCTTGATAAAAGTGGTGATACATTTTCTTTTTAATCTCTTCAAATCTAGATTTATTTTTACTGTCTATATTGTTTATACTTACTACAGGAGAGGATGATGTCAATTTTTATTTTAAATTTACGTGTTATTGTTCAAAACCGGAAAAAGCTCTTTATGACATCCGCCTCCCAACATAAGTTAGTTGAAACGAATTAAAAAAAAAAAAAATGAAAAATCTATAGTTACTTTTTTTTTCTTTACCATTCTTCCTTACCGTAACGGCGTAATGTATTGCCATTCTCCATTTATATTTCGTCTGCTGCTGTCTTGTAAGAAGACGTATATTTCGTTATTCTTTAATGTTTGCGATACACGCTTGTGCGCGCACACGTGTGTATGTATGTGTGTGCCTGTCTTGTCCCAAAAAGATGACACTTCATCACACGACTATATATCACCAATTGTTGTAATGAGGGGAGTATTCGACACAGTTTTTTGTTATGATGTTTATATATGAATATACTATATTGCATGAGTCTGCACTGCAGTAAATGACGACGAAATCTCTTCTCACTTACTCAGCCATCTGTAGTTAGTCTATTTTGTCTTTTTACAGCTGATCAGATTGTTGAAATCGGCCTATAATTTTTTAAGTTAAACACCTCTGAGTCTTATAAATTTTAATGTGTACATATTTTTTTCTTCAATAAAAAGACAATGACGTTGCGTTTACACTACTACAGCTCTCTCTGGCGAGCAAACTCGCTGGTCATGACACTAATGTTAATGAAGAACTGACTATTATTATTCCCAAGTCGCTTTTCTTGCAAATTTATATACATAGGAGTATCTTAAATTCTTTTTTTTTATGGTTGATTAGTGTAGTTACATTGCGTAATATCTGTTAATGTTGAGTTTGTGTGTCGGCATGGCATTTCATACGACGTTGCTACTGTCATCGTCATGTACCTCCACCTTGACATGGGAGTGTGGGTGTCTGCAACATGGATCTTTCGTTCGCCTGCTAGAGTTACCGGTTGACACGTGAATCAAAATGACATTGAAAAAGAAGAAAAATAATAGAATCTTCATTTTATTTTATATTTAAATGAATATGCATTGCTTTAAGTTCCATTTTGTACTAAAGAGTGGTAAACAGGATTTTGTTTTAAGTCTTTTTCATAGCTAGACTAACTGAATTGTTGAGAAAACCCAAGTAAACAGTTGAGTAGATATTTTGTATATGTCGTAAATAAAGTGTCTGTTAGTGTGAACATATTTCAATAAGGTTTTTAAACATAAGTTTTAAAACATACCTTGTTTCACAGTCAACTATTCAATGTTTTTTTAATTTTCAAAGTTACTAATAATGTCATTTTTTTAAAACATATGCACACTAGTTATCCTTTGCAAATTTAGAAACACTGCATTTTCATTACTTAAAAATGAGCAACTTGGTTGTATAAGGAATTTTTAACATTCTTCATGAACAATTATAACTTTCACTTGTCTAATTAAACATACATAAACACTAAACAGGATAAAAACTGTTTCTAAATGACATTTGAATTTGTTTCTCCAGCAGACTGTGAATAACACTTTACAACACATCTGTTTAACTGACATTCAAAGTATTGCTTAACACCTGTTACCAGTCTTTATTTTTCTTAATTTTTAGTTTTGATTTATTTGGAGCGAACATCAAAATTCTCAAGCTTGTATTTCTCAGATTCTTTAATCCTTTGGCTATGATCATATGAAATAACTTAGTTGATCTCTCCCCACCAAAACGCACACTTTGTCTACTGACAGTTGAGTAGCACAATATTATGTTGAAAATTCTATAATATAGAAAATGGAAAGGGTTAATTTTATTTTTATTAACTTTATTTGTAGAGGGCAGTACTACATGTCACTAGCAACAATGTATGTTGTAATACTGCCATATCAAACATAGCATTACAAAACTATGAATAACTTGCTAAACACTAAATGTGATATAACTGTACTCCTTTAGTAATAATAAAAATAAATTAAAATTTCTCTTTGTTATGTTTATTTAGAAATCTTATTTTGCGTGCATATTTTTAAAGCAAATTTAGGCTGATGAGAAATATACAAAAAAAACAACATATCCAAATAATAAAGTCTGAATTACTGAACGTTTTCATTAAGTCTTGATAAATTATAGCATTCAGCAAACTAGGATTCTTTTTCTTTACATGAGACGGGACATTGAGATTATTTTTATTTTACTAGTCAATATTGCACACTGTAACAAAAAATATATTAGAACATGATTACTATTCAATTGCTATAAGATTTAATTTCTTGTATATCTCAAGTTTGATTTGGAAATATTCTAAATCATTTACTCTGAGTGATGTTGGAGTAATTCAGGGGGTTTCTGTTTCACTATGATAC